TTTGACATGGCCATTCCACCACGTCAGGGCCCTTTCGGTGAAGGTGCAAGCAACGAACTTTATCTTGTTTCCCTCAGGGCATGAGCACATCTCAAAGATTGCTTCTGTTCTTTCGATCCATTGGGACAGCGCAATGATCCCTCCGGTTCCGTTGAAGTATGTGGGTTTGCAGCTGATGAAATCTTTATAGGTGCACTCCCGTGCACATGGATGGATTTCACCATGGCTGGAGTTGGTGCCAGTCCCCGTTCCACTAACACCACCAGAGTTTACTTGGGCCATGGCGGCGGTCACAGCTGCGGTCACCGCTGCCTGAAACATCACCGCATCGAACTGCGGAGGAGGTGGTGGTGGTGGAGTTTGATTTGCAGGTCTGCCCCTGGTCAGACGAGGACGAGGCGGCATCTTTTACTGAAAGTGGATAGAGATGATGATAATAGTAAGAATCAATTGTAAGTATGATGAGAGTGTTTCATAGACTAAATCACCATAGTCTAACTATCAGATAGATGTATAACAATAGAGTAGGGAATCACAAAGGTAAAGACTTTCCCATAGATTAGATAACTGCCAATATTACTGGTATTAATGATGTAAAATGAGTTCGGGAAAAATGACCTAACAGTTGGTCTTACATCAAACCATAAGGGAAAATGTTGGCAGCTTAGAAGTCTAGTTGGAGTACTTTCCAAGTTAGAAATGTTTACAGACAAGTGCTCCATGGGGTACAGAAAAGAAAGGCTATTCCTTAATTAAAAAGTAAAGATGAGTCGACATCTTCTACCGGCGATGGGTATCGCTTGGGCGAACCCTAAGGTCTGTCAGTTGGCGTACAACTTCCTGAAGATGTCTCTCATGCGCCCTCTGACGCACTCGGAGTTCCATGACTTCGGCTCGGGATGCAGCCAGTTGTTGTTGTAGAGTCTCATTGGTTCTCCTGGTTCTTTCCATAGCCTCTTCGAGTTGGCGAATGCGGACCGTGTTAAGGCCAGAGTTGGCGTCAATTTGCACTACTCGGTCGATGGCTGCATGACCTTGTTCGGTGTTCCGAGCAATCCTACGGACCATGATGGGTAGGACTCAGTCAGCTGATCCCCCCTCTCTTAGATTGTAGAAACTTTGGTCCCCATTGTAAGGTAAGGGCTGACCCTGCTCATCACTCCAACGATTCAAGGTTGTTGCCCACAATGGAGTGGGACCTTGAAATGTCGGGCGGGGGTTGAGGTTTGGAATTTGACCTTCTTGGGGTAGGTTGTTGACCTCTGGTTCGGAGTCGGAGCCATCCGAAAAGCCTTCTGCGAGGTGATCATCCAAAGGGATTGGGTGATCATCTTCTGGCTCATCGTCAAGCCATCCACCAATGCCTTGGTTGGGATAATACGGATCGCCAGAGAGATGGAAACCAGCCATGCTATCTACGCGAGAATAGGGGGAAAAGAATAGTTAATAGACGCACGAATTAAGATAATTATAAGATGATCGTTATTAGTTAATTCAATACTTGCATAGTGCATACCCATTACATGTAACCAAAACAGGATAGACCTTCGAATAAATGACCCTAACTCTAAATCCACAATAAAACAAGGAACATGAAATAAAGCAAAGATCATAGATTCTAAGTCTATAGCGCCTTAGTCACATGTAACCTTAGAGTATCCACTTAGCAACTATGGCCCTACTAGTAACGACATTTTTAGTTCTCACATATGTAATTTATAGTAACACAGAATACTCCTATAGTATTCTGTTCTAATGTTCCCGTTGTAGTAGTGTTGGTAAGTTTTTAGACTTGTTGCAACACCCCAATCATTCCTAGGCACATGCTAGTCACTCCTCAGAAAATATAGTTCATCAGGCTATATCCCCTTAGGTTTGACTATATGTCTCTAAGCCTAATTGTGATGTTCAACAATCATAATACTTTTGTTCTGTTCTAGTATGATACTGACCCTGGTATGAATAGATGTATACTAGTCGTTTACCCGCGCTAAGCGACGGGTGCGAATAGCTTTTTCAAGAATTTGTTTTTAGAAACGATTAATACTTTTATGCAAATAGTTAACATCTAAACAATTATAAATTAGAGTCATGTTAACATAAACAAAATCAATACGAATTAAAAATAAAAAGTTCGGATAATTTACAAATATGCATGAAAACAATAGTAAATTCAACATGATAGAAGTTATTTATATCGCTACAGATTCATCGAGCTATTGTAAATTTTCTCTTTTTTCCATGAAATCGGCGATCAAAGACCAAATAGGCAACATTTTGTAGGCTAGAGTAATTTGATGTATTGCATGATCCGAACTCCGAAATTGTTGTTTAAAGTGATATTCAGTAACGCCTTAAGCCTGAGATAAAAATAAGTCGACTCCGTCAATCCTAAATAACTGATATTTTCATGGGAAATTAATACAAACCACACAATTGACGGCATTTAATTAACTACAAGACGTGTTTGTATTAGTTTATTTAAATTGAAATGTGATATTTTTCTTAGTAAATAATAGTCGTTACCCGCGCTAAGCGACCGGTGCGAATAGCTTTTTCAAAAATTTGTTTCTAGAAACGATTAATAATTTTGTACAAATAGTTAACGCCTAAACAATTATAAATAAGAGTCATCTTAACATAAACGAAATCAATACGAATTAAAAATAAAAAGTTAGGATAATTTACAAATATACATGAAAACAATAGTAAATTCAACATGATAGAAGTTATTTATATCGCCTACAGCTTCATCAAGCTATTGTAAAGTTTCTCTTTTTTCCATGAAATCGGCGATCAAAGACAAAATAGGCAAGATTTTGTAGGCTAGAGTAATTTGATGTATTGCATGATCCGAACTCCGAAATAGTTGTCTAAAGTGATATTCAGTAACGCCTTAAGCCTGAGATAAAAATAAGCCGACTCCGTCAATCCTAAATAACAAATATTTTCATGGGAAATTAATACAAACCACACCATTGACGACATTTAATTAACTCCAAGACGTGTTTGTATTAGCTTATTTAAACTGAAATGTGATATTTTTCTTAATAAATAATATTTTATAGCATTTTGAATTGGTAGTTTTTTTTTCCTATATGTTTAGTTAGAGGGAGGGTTGGAATATAGCATATTTTAGAGTTTTAGACTCTAAAACATCAATCAACGATGACTACATTTTGTTGATTCAATTTTTTTGGATTGGTGTGGATTTTAATAATAATAATAATAATAATACAAACAAAATATATTACAATTTCCGATGTACAATATTTTTAAATAAGATTCTTTAAAATATACCAGTGATATTTTTAATTAAATAACATGAATGATAAATCACGTATGGCTATAAACGCATTTTTTTTATAGAAAACACACATACAATCTCATTTAACTTCAAAAATTTTAATTTATTAAATATTATTATTTAGATCATTAAATAAATGAATGAAAGTGGGAAGTCTACAAAGAAGATTGTTGGTAGTTCGTACAACCTTTTTCCAAATAAAAGACTACAAGCATTTGTATTTTTCCAAATAAAAGACTACAAGCATTTGTATTTTTCCAAATAAAAGACTACAAGCATTTGTATTTTTCCAAATAAAAGAAGCTGGACGATGAAAATACTACTACATGAAATATGATGTAAGTATACTTTTTGTTGGGTTACATCTCATAATACCAAGTAATATAAAAGATCAAGTAAAAACCTTTGGAAAGAAAACAAATAAGATAAATCAAGTAAAAACGTTTTTTTGCCATTTCCTTGCATATCCAGTTAATTTTTCTTATTGATAAAAGAATTTATGATCATCCGAATTTTTTTCAAACCTATATAACTCTACAAACTTGGTAGACAAAAATTGGTGGATTGTCATATGTCGTTTGACCATTATAATATAACTCAAGGAAATCTTATTATCTAACATGTCACATATTACATGCTTATAGAAACATCAAAATGTCAATTTCTATAGAAAAAAACCTACTTGAAAGAATACCATATAGTTCATAAATATAAGCATTTGATCATTCTAATATAACTTAGAGAAATCTTATTATCTAACATGTCACATATTTCACTCTTATAAAAACATCAAGATGACAATGTTTATAGAAAAAACCTATTTGAAACAACACCAGATGGTTTACAAATTATAATTTCTTTCATAAATACACTTCTAAAGTGAACAATTAAGATAAATGCACCAAGAAGCTTTTTTCCATGACCATCAGATGAGACCATGTATGTACTGAACTCATCATCAGATGAGACCATGTATGTTCTGAACTCATCATACAACAAAAAAGAAACAGATGGCACTTGTAGAAATAATATTACATTAAACTTTAGAATAAACACGATTCTATCAATAATTCAATAAACATGTACATTTCAGTTGGTCCCCACTTCAAATCTGTCGGTAAACCTATATACACCGAAAGAAACCATCAAACCGGAACCAGTGAAGATGTAAGAAATATTAAGCTTTCAGCATTTTGGATATCGGGTGCAGTAGAAAACTCACAAGCAAGAATAGTTGGTGGGGATTCATCGTTAACGGAAGGCGACGGGGTAATTGTTTCAGGAGTAAGTTTAGGTCTTCCTCAAGAAAGTGAAACTTGTTGGGTGGGTAGAAGGCAGACCTATGAGTTTAGAGCTGCAAGTCATTCTTATATAAAACAATGAGAAATAGATTTTGTGTTTGTAGGTTGTTGGTTTTCATCCGTTGATTCATGTTATCTATGCAAAGATGGATTTTCATCGGTTGGATAAAAAAACACATAAAATTAGGATTGCAATCCTTGTGAAGTGAGTTTAGTGGCCGGCATTTTGAGAAATCAAGCATGCACCTTTCCTCCAATCTTTTTGACTTCATGCATAGTCTGGTAATATACAAATCCAAAGCATAACCAAGCAAAAAAGGGTTGTACCTTATTCATTATAAATTGTTTTTAAGAGTTTTGAGGGTTGACTACTTAAATTTAAGAGTTTGACCATAAATGCATTATAAGGTATAAAGATAAAGATATACTTAGTTAAATATTTTATTATTTAAAAGTATAATTTCTTGGTCAGAGTGTTTTAATCCCGATGCGTTTATAGTTTGTATATCTTTTATGGGTTGATATACTCAATTCACTATAAACAATGCTCTGATACCAATCTGTCACACCTCAAAACCGGAACGGCGGAAACGTTCTGGGGTGGAGGACGTCATGTATAGTATCACAACAATGCATAATAGTAAAGAGAAGCAACAGCATCCATTGCATTAATATAATAATTATAATACAAGCGTGTTCTGTATAGTTTGTAAGACACCAAAAGTATGATC